GTGTGTGTGTGTGTGTGTGTGTGTGTGCAGGTCGGAGTGCTGCTTCCAGTCGTTCAAGTGTCTGGACGCTGAAGCTGCTTCGGTAAAGTTCCGGCTGGATCTGGGCTTCAGGATGCTGTCGTGTGGTCGAGCGGATCTCGTCCATCAGGCCGCTCGACTCCTGGGGGCGGAGAGCGTCAACACCATGGACGACCAGGTGAGGGCGCTCTTCATCTTTTAAAGTTATGAGCTGTCAGTGCCGCAGACGTAATGATCCTGGTTCTTTTCTCTTTACTTATAACAAACGTACTTTCAACCAGTCAGGAGTCGGTGTCACCTGTCAATCATGACGTCTCTTATTGTATTTGCGGCGTTCAGAGTGTTTGATGTGTGTGTCTGCAGGGAATGACTCCTCTGATGTACGCGTCCGCAGCAGGAGATGAAGCGCTGGTGCAGATGCTCATCGAGGCCGGAGCCAAACTGGATCTGCAGGTAGAAACACTCCTGCCGACTCACACTGTAACACACTGTGTGTTAGTGTGTCTGTGACTGAAGTGTGTGTGTGTGTGTGTGTGTGTGTGTGTGTTGCTCAGGTCCCAGGCTGCTCCGTCAGACATCCATCGGTTCATCCCGGCAGCAGACACTGGGTGGCGCTGACGTTCGCCGTGTTGCACAGTCACTTGTCTGTGGCTCAGGTGAGACACCGAAGAGTTTGTGTTGAAGTGTCTCGATTTTCACTTCACTGTGATCGAGACCGAAAGAATTCATGACGACAATAAAATAATAATAATGTTGATGATGATAAACGCGTCCGTCAATTTCCTCCTTAAGTGTGTTTAATTAATCACATACAAAATACTTCATGTCCTCATGTCCTCGTGTCCTCGTGTCCTTGTGTCCTCGGCAGCTGCTGCTGGAGGCCGGGGCAGACGTGGAGGGCGGCGTCCTGCTGGACGACCAGGAGAGCTCAGCGGAGACGCCGCTGCAGTTAGCTGCTGCTGCAGGTATCTTTACAGTGACGTGTCCACACTGAGACATCAGAGGACACACAGACATTATTGAGTTACACAGATTTAAAGTTGAATCGACCCCTGGCCCAGATGTTCAGATAATGTGTGAATGATTTTTAGAGAAAAGTACAGAGTGTCAGTGAAGGCATCGCGACTCGGCTGCGTTGAATCAAAGTGGAGGTGAAAGATAAAGTTTTAAAAAGTTGTCGTCAGACGTTGTATGAATGAATGTTTCCTCCCCTCAGGTCACTATGAGGTGGTGAGTCTGCTGCTCGCACACGGAGCCGACCCTCTGCTCAGAGTGCATCATGGGAATTCTCTGACATCACCGCTGTATGAAGATATGAACTGTTTCAGTTACGCTGCAGCTCACGGACACAGGTGAGACTCCTCCCCCTGTTTGATAAGACGAAGATGATGATGATGATGATGCACAGCCTTATCCCCCGTCTCCTCTTCGACAGGAACGTCCTCAGGAGGCTGCTGCTGCAGCCGCAGCACAGGAAGGAGGATGTTCTCTCTCTGGAGGAGATCCTGGCTGAAGGAGTGGAAGAGGAGGAGGAGGAGGTGAAGACTCCTCCAGCTCCTGACTCCTCGAGTCGTGTCCCCAGGTTGTGTAAGACCAGGATGAAGGCTCTGCAGCAGGCGGCGTACTACAGCTCGGAGCACGGATACCTGGACGTAACCATGGAGCTCAGAGAGATGGGTGAGAACTGGGAATCGAACCTGCTAACCACTCGACCACCGGGGAGACAGACATGTTCTGACCTCTCCCATCCCCCTGCTGTGTCCAGGTGTCCCCTGGAGGCTCCACATCTGGCTGGAGTCTCTCCGCAGAGCTCGGCAGCTGTGCAGGGACGAAGTGACCGTCTCGCTCCTCACAGAGTTTCCCTCCATCAGGACGGACGACTACACCCCCGAGCTGCTCTCCACGGGGTTACCGCTGATGTTCAGCATGTTGGAGACCAGCAAGGTACCACACTCGTCCATCTGTCCGTCCACTCGTCCTTCTGAACGTGTGTCCTGATGGGTTGTCAAGTGACCGTTGTTTGAATCCTGAGTTTTTTCTGTCTTTAGTTTAACGTGTGAACTTTCTGCAGGATTACGTGATAACGAAGCGTCTGGCGTCCGTGTTCTCTCACTGCTACGGCTGTTGTCCCGTCCCTCCTGTCCCGCCCATGGACGTCACTCTGTCTACACAGCTCGGTAACACGTCGCTGACGTTGACCTCTGACTCCTGCTTTTCTTCTAACGTGTAACCCTGACAGGATTCCGTGTCTCTGTCCTCAGATGTTCATTTCCTCAACAACCAGGAGATGTCTGATGTGACGTTCATGGTGGACGGACGTCCCTTCTTCGCTCACCGGGTGTTGCTGATGTCGGCCTCTGAACGGTCTGATCTCTGACCTTTGACCTCACACGTCTTAAATCTGTGTCTGTTGTCCTGTGATTTAGAGACGAAGAGTTTCTGTCTGTGAAACTTTACAGCTCCGCTTCTTTAAGTGAAAAGGTCAAAAATATAAAGAGACAAAAGCTTAAATAATAGAAAGTAAA